ATCATTTCTTGTTAGTTCCTCTTTGATTAGACTTCTTTGTAGAACGCTATCTTGTGCTCCTGTATCCACGATTGCTGACATGTACTTATTATTTAATCTAATTGTGATGTGCAAGATACCTATGTTATTGTTCTTCCCCATGGTAAGGATGGCAGGGGCTTTTAATTTTGCCATCCCTTCTCGTTTGGGTTTTGTCGTCGGGCTGTACAGGTGTTTGCAAAGTGACCCTGTTTTCCACAAACAAAGCAACCTGGATTGTTTTTGTTGTTTCGTGGCGTATACGATTTGTTCCTTTGAGGCTGGGATCTGCATACTGTTGCAATATGTCCTGTTTTTCCACAGTTGTAACAAACGGTGGCAATTTTTGGGTTGTAGTTATGATTTCTCATCTTTTGGCTCCTACATACAGCTGTGAAATGTCCTGTTTTGCCACAATTATAACACGTTTGGCTAGCTATTGGTACTCTTGTGCTTGTGTGTTCTCCTTGCATTCGAATCCTGCAGGTGGCCATTACATGTCCTCTTTTTCCACAATAATGACATATCTCTTTAGTTCTGTGTCTGTTATTGTACTTCTTTCCGTACAGCTGGTAATTTGGGTATCTTGCGTTGCACTTTTCTTCGGAGCTTTGTCTATCGTGTCTGCTATTTCTTTTAATTGTATAAGTGATGTTGGTGGCTTGTTCGGCGGGTTTGTTAACCAGTAGTAAGTGTAATAATTTGCCTTTGTCAATCCTTCGCTGAAAATCCTTACAAATTCTTGTATCTCAAATGTATGCGTGTAATTGTGGTATAATACTTGTAAATCGTACAAGTATTCCTTGACTGACTCATCTTGACCCTGTTTTCTGTTTTCGACTTTTTTCTTGAGTGCCCTTTGGTAATCTGTATCCTCAAATTCCTCTGAAAAATCTTTGACAATGTCTTTCCAGCTGTTGTTTTGATGGTCGCGCTTATATTCCTGAAACCACAGGTTTGCGGCTCCGTCTAAATATGTTTCAAAATAAACAATTTTCAGCTTTTCGTCCCATCCATTTGCTATCGCTGATCTGTCGTATGTTTTTAGGAACTCGATCGCACTGGTTTTACATAGCTGGAAGGTTTGAGGGCTAATAAACTGAGGCAACTTCGCCTTTTTCTCCGCTGTTATAGCATCAGTTATTGTGGTGTTCGCCATTATATCTGGTTGATCTACTTCCTCTTTAGATGGTTGCCTGTGTTTTGGTGCTTCTTGAAGGGTAAGGTCTGGTGGGCTACCAAAAACACTGTCTTCTTCGTAGCCTGTTTGATTATTTGCTTGGTTTTCTATTTCCCTTTCAATTTGTTCTAAACTGATACTGGTTGACTCTGGTGGTGATCTTTGCAGTGATCTTCTCGGCAGAAAGAGCACGTTTTCTGATTCTAATTCTACTGGTGTCGTTGCTGCTGCGTTCTTTGGCCTCAAATTATATTTGGTTTTGTCTGGCATCTATTCTTGCCACAATGGCGGCAGTACTAACTATGTGTCACAATTTATTCTTCTGTCTTCTCTTCACCTTCGCCACGGTGTCGTGAATTTCTCTTGTCGACGTACCGCCTGGTGACGTGTTTGGGCGTCGGCTTTTTTCAAAGGCGCCTTACGACGTCGGTTCTTGCGCGTCGGTTTCGACCCGGCACCTCCACCAAATATGTCACAACTACCCGCTGTACGGGGGTGACATGGGGGGTTTGTAGCTTTGGGGGTTGATGGAGAGAAACTCGCTCAGGTTATATAAAAATATATGCTATATATTTTCCCAAATATAACCTTACGTGTATGCTAATCCTATAAGATACATGACCCGGCGAACACTGGGGTCCTTATAGGGAGCCACACGTCAATGCTGCTTGGAGGACTGTAGATTAGTTTATCGTCACCCTTATGCCTTGTCCAGAGGGGCGTTCCCAACGAGAGGTAATTGCACTGGACAACGATAAGGCTGAAGATACCCAGAGGGGCGTTCCCAACGAGAGGTACTTGCACTGGGGAGACTTAATTCCAGAGGGGCTTTTCCAACGAGAGGTACTTGCACTGGTTTAAGTCTACCTTTGCTGCGGCTTGCAGCGCAATTTATATTAATTTATTGCTGAATTGCAATAAATATTCGATCGAATCGGCAATTAAATTAATAAGGTTGAATACCGGGTCCTCCTTTCCCAAGCAGCTAGTTGACAATAGGATTCAAATGTATATCTATCATAAAAAATTGAAATCGACGTATTTGATGACCATTATTAGGTCCATCAAATACGTTTTTTTTCCATGATTTATGATGGATGTTCACCTAAATCTCATATATTCATATTTAAAAGTAACAAGGGGTTGGGAACAAGATGGCAGCGTTTTTATTAGTTTTTAATATAAATATATGGGATTTTAGTACCAATCAAAAATGAGACAGCAATTGTCGCCACTGTGGGTTATAGAGTCACTGTAACTGTATTAACAAAAATATTATTTCAGACGACGGCACTGGAATAAAGTTAATGCCTTGTTAGTTGCTCGGAGTGAAAATGAAAAAATAATAGAGTAATAATAGGATAATAAACAGGGAAATTAATTAAAATAAAACTATTCCTACAAATACGTTCTCTGGGGCCTTATTCTGTAAAGAACTAACCGTTCGATTCGGTAGAATTTCTTCGATTGTGACGTCATTTTTGGTTTAGTAGCGCGAAAACAAAACCAAAAATGACGTCACAATCGAAGAAATTCTACCGAATCGAACGGTTCGTTCTTACAGAATAAGGCCCCAGGTTGGGTATCCTTTCGTTGAAAAATTAACGTTGTCGTGCAGAACAAAATGCATGCAAAATACGTGATACTGTGATGCATTTAGTGCCGGTATTTTTGCTCTCATTTGACACCCGTTAAAAATAATCAGGGCTTTGAATGTGCTCTAACTACATCATACTTATAGACCTTGGCCCATGCAAAACTTTGACGACGTATCAAATTCGTTAATCGAGAGCAAAAGTATCGGCCCTTAACCTTGTGTAGGAATTTTAAAATTTGAATTTCGCGCTCAATTATGGTCATTTAACCGTGCGTTCGTTATTTTGGTCCGAGTTCTCCGAGCTTGACTTTACCGTTCGTTTATTTAAAAAGTGTACTCGGTGCAGCCTCATACGCGTTCGTTTATTGAAATTTCTGGCACTTTTATACAGCGTTCAACTGTTCTGTTCGCTCACTGGTCATGTGATTACGGTTCCGCTCAACACGCTCTGCTCTTTGAACAAAATACCGAACGCAAGGTAAATTGAAGTGATGACGTAGATGTTGAGTAGTTAGCGGCGAAGAAGTGTGTAATATCCTTGCTTGATTCGAATTTGAGGTTAGGTTAGGTCAATGTGTCTGTGGCGGATGTCCGCCCCAGATCCGTTGGCAACCATGCAAATGGAGCGGCAACGCGGTACACCAGCGGTAGGAACGTCAACTGTCTCCGAGTCCCGGCCAGCTGATGACTGACACAAGTCCGACGCCCGCTCGAATAATAAAAACAACACGCCCGAACAATTTCTATTTTTTCATTTTTACCGATGTTTTATTTTTGTATTTGGCATAAATAAACAGTAGATTAATTAAGTTGATCAGTGCGCCTTATTTGCCCGCCGCAAACCGGCCACATGTCTTATGTGGATTAGCAACAACACGTTAGAAACCTTTTAGAATTTTGTGAAATTAGTTATTTTTAACCATAACTCCACGCGGTGCATAAGGTTATTTGTTTCACGGTTAAATTAGTAATAAAAATTAAAAGGAACGACCTACCTGTTGAGGTTCGGAGGCAACTGTATTTATTTCCTTCGATTTTCTACAAGCACTTGCACTAATTCTATTCGGCTCGAAGGACCATGTTACTGGGTTCCTTCGACAGGTAATATTTTGTAGAAATAAGAATCCACTTGTTCAATTTTACGTTTTTAATAACGAGAAAATAAATACTTGCAATAGAATTTTACGAAAAACAAAATGGCTGACTGTTGACTAGCAACGGCTCCAAGCTCCGCCCTTCAGCTCCAATATTCCTACGCCGAGTGACATATGACAAGCGCGGTGGCGCCAAATTTTCGGGACTTCTGCTGTGTTGCCATATCTACTAATACATTGAATAAATGAAATAAATCCTTTAACAGCCGTTTTGTGGTTTTGTGAATTGTATAGGTTTTCCGCGTTTTACGTTTAACTTGTTTGTAAAAGAAAACAGCTCTGGTAAGTTTAAAACACTTTTTTATTCAACAACAAAATCATCATTCACGTCTACACTATCAGGAGCCACCCTACAAAAAGGGCAAAAGCCCTTTTGAAGCAATTGCAGCTCGAAATCATCAACGTGAAACGCTTTAAAGCAAGAATTACAAACAGTAACATTTAACTCTGGCAAAACATTCCTATAAAACTGATATTTCAAAGGCGGGCCCCATTTGCACACCAAAACAGTCTCGGGCTCCAATTCCAACAACTCTTGCTTGCTCAATATTACTGCAAAATTTGTTGTATCACTAGCCAACTCTAAAGTTTGCACATTTTCATTTAAAATGCACTCACGCTTGTGCGGAGTTTGAATAAGCCTCACAGCTTCATCGTCAGTTAGGTTTGCTTCAATTTTGAACTCAACTAAAGGCAACAGCTCGAAACTTACAAACGAATAAACAAATTGTTGTTTGCAACTGGTGCAAAAATTGGTTAAGGCAGGATTGTAAGTCGAACAACGATAGCACATTGGTAGAAGCTCTTCCAGATCCCGATAGGGTTTGGATTTTGAGGCAATTGCAGCAATTTCGAGTTGCTCTTCGAATTTTTTGGGGATTTTCAACAATTGTAGTTTGTCATACAACTGGTTTGCCAGCTTATTTGCACCTAACTTAGAAGCTTGTTTAGCTAAAGTAAATATTATAGCAAATTGAGAAATGTTTTGAGGCTTATTAGAGCCAATTTCAACTAGTAGAAATCTAGAAATATTAAATAATGCCTCTGGCATGTAAGATGTGAAAGGTTCTTCTAAATATTTGTGAATTGTTTGGTAGGCATAATAAATTTCGGCCAGTGATTGGTTGTGCCTGAAATCTTCCAAACAATTCAAGTCTAAATACTGCCTGGAAATTATCCAGTAGTAAAACGAAGCATCATCGAATCTCATTTCGTCTACAGCGTTTGATGTCAGTTGCCTGAAAACCTTAAAGGCCTCTTGCGATTTGCCTGCTTTATGAAAAGCCTTTTGGGCCTTGACAAATTGGTCGTTTTCCGCTAAATATTGAGCATAAGGCACGTAAACCAAGGCACTTAAATTAGGCTGATTTTGTATTAAACTAAAAGCCTGAGGCCATTCATTTGCTTCAATATGTAGCTTTAGGACGCTTAATGAATCACCTAAACGTCTATAGATTTCAGCTGCTGAAGCTTTTTGATTCAATTGCTGCAAACGTTGAGCTACAAGGCTTAAATGAGTGGAGGATTTATCCAATTGCCTTCCTAGTTGAATTAGTTGCTCGCTCCATTGTTGCTCAAAGTAGATTTCAATAGCAATTTCAATATCACCTATTGAAATATACATGTCAGCAGCTGCTTTGGGTTCGTTAATGTTTTTAGCCCAATCGGCCTTTTGCCTGATTAATGCCTTATTGTCTTTGTTGCCCAAAAACTCTTGAGCTTCATCAAACATCCTTAAATCTGTATACATTGTTAAGGCTTTTGCATCGTTGCCCGATTTCTGGTAAAGCCTTGCGGCTTCTTTGAATTTGCCCTTCATTGCCAAAATATCACCTAAAATAACTTCTTTTTCAAATAATTGTTTGTGGCTAATTTCCTGGATTAATTCCAAATAGTTGAAGTTTTGTAGTTTTACAAAGGCAAGGCGGGCGATTTTTAAGTCTAAATGTTCCAAGGCGGTGTGGGCTAATTCTTCCCAATCACCATCAGTGACGCCCAGGCAGGCCACTTTATAAGCTTCTTTGAATTGGTTTTTTTCCAGGAATTGATACATTGGGGTGCTTAATGGTAGCTCTATTGTGTTCATGTTTGAGCCGTTGAGGCAAAACACTTTAGAGCCTGTTAGGCCTACTACAAAGCCGCTCAGTTTTTGTATGTGGCTTGGAAAGTCTAAAATTTTCAATGATAGTGTATCATTAGTGCCACTATAAGCCAGCATTTCTTCGTAATGGGTATTAAACGCAACACTATTAACGTTGTGTTCTTGATAGCACAAAGTTGAATGTTTGAAGATTTGCATCAGGCCTGTTTCATCTACTAAGGCCAGTTTGGACTTGTCTCTGCTTAAATCCAGACATCTAATGCTTGAATTTATTGTTTGTTTTAATAAAGGGTGGACATTGTCCAGGTGGACTTGCCATGCTTGGCCGTTTTTTAAGCCTAACAATAGGCCTTCTTTGCCCGCAGGGCCTCCGATGTTTTTGATGTAACGTATAGGGCTGGAAAAGGTCCAGGATTTTTCCTTTTCGCCGCTAAACAATAGGCTTTGTAAGGTGTTTTCTTGACATATTATTAAATGGTTGCTACAAACTACCAACAAACTACACTCAATTTTTTGAGGAATTTTCTCTTTTGCCCTATAGTGCATATCTGTAGAATCTTTCGAGTATAGTTCGTAAATGACCATTCTTTCTGGTAATTGAACCTGAAATAGATATATGTTTTAATGAGATATTAATTTTTGAATAAGTAAGTAATAGCAAAGAATATTATAGACTAACGTCTCTAGAAGATCTGTCCGCCGGCGGAAATATAAACTCGCGTGATGGCGCTGGTGTCCTAGTAAAATCAGTCGTTTCTGTGATTAAATTAATTTGAGGCACTAAATGCATGCGTATTTGCTAAGCTGCGTTGCCAAGTTGTCTTTTGTTTAACAAATTAAATGCCTGTGTTTTATATAGGTAGTTATTATACATAAATCTACCATAGAATAGGAATATTAGTGTCAACTGTCAAATTGTGACAGTTGTAGATTTTGAACCAGTTCTTCACAACGGATTTTGCTGAAATTTAGCATAGGTACATCTGTTCAAGTTCTAGTGATAATACATTTTAGACCACCAATGACAGGTGTCAACTGTCAAAATGTGACAAGTGACCATTATTTCGCAACGGATTTTGCTGAAATTTTGCATACATTTTATGTTCGGATGATAATACATTTTAAACCACAAATGACGTTTGAAAAAAAAAAAATTTTTTTTATAACTTTGGAAGTGTCAAAAAATGACATTTGAAAAAAAATAATAATTATTATTATCGGACCTGTCAAAAAATGACATTTGAAAAAAAAAAAATATTTTTTTTTCATAAGTTTGGACCGGTCAAAAGTGACATTTGAAAAAAAAAAAAAAAATTTCATATTATTGGACCTGTCAAAAAAAAATGACACTTGAAAAAAAAATAAAAATAATAATTTCATATTATTAGACCTGTCAAAAAAAAAAGACAGAAAAAAAAAAAAAAAATTTATAGGAGTCTTGAACCTGTCAAAAAAAAAATTCATTTGAAAAAAATTTTTTTTAATAGAATTGGACCTGTCAAAAAATAACGTTTGAAGAAAAACAATTTTTTTTTATAACTTTGGATCTGTGAAAAAATGACATTTGAATAAAAAAAAAAAAAAATTCATATTATTGGACCTGTCAAAAAAAAATGACACTTGCAAAAAAAAAATTAAAATTTTATAGGTATCATTGGACCTGTTAAAAAAAAAATTACATTTGAAAAAAATATTTTTTTTTATAAGATTGGACCTGTCAAAAAATGACGTTTGAAAAAAAAATTTTTTTTCATAAGTTTGGACCGGTCAAAAGGTGACATTTGAAAAATAAAATAAAAATTTCATATTATTGGACCTGTCAAAAAAAAATGACACTTGAAAAAAAAATAATAATAATAATTTCATATTATTAGACCTGTCAAAAAAAAAAGACAGAAAAAAAAAAAAAAAATTTATAGGAGTCTTGAACCTGTCAAAAAAAAAATTCATTTGAAAAAAATTTTTTTTAGTAGAATTGGACCTGTCAAAAAATGACGTTTGAAGAAAAACAATTTTTTTTTATAACTTTGGACCTGTGAAAAAATGACATTTGAAAAAAAAAATAAAATGATTTCATATTATTGGACCTGTCAAAAAAAAATGACACTTGAAAAAAAAAAATTAAAATTTTATAGGTATCATTGGACCTGTTAAAAAAAAAATTACATTTGAAAAAAATATTTTTTGTTATAAGATTGGACCTGTCAAAAAATGACGTTTGAAAAAAAAAAATTTTTTTTTTTTTTCATAAGTTTGGACCGGTCAAAAGGTGACATTTGAAAAAAAAAATAAAAATTTCATATTATTGGACCTGTCAAAAAAAAATGACACTTGAAAAAAAAATAATAATAATAATTTCATATTATTGAACCTGTCAAAAAAAAGACACTTGAAAAAAAAAAAAAAATTTATAGGAGTCATTAAACCTGTCAAAAAAAAAATTCATTTGAAACAAATTTTTTTTAATAGAATTGGACCTGTCAAAAAATGACGTTTGAAAAAAAAACAATTTTTTTTTTATAACTTTGGACCTGTCAAAAAATGACATTTGAAAAAAAAATAAAAAAAAATTCATATTATTAGACCTGTCAAAAAAAAATGACACTTGTAAAAAAAAAATATTTTTTTTTTTTCATAAGTTTGGACCGGTCAAAAGGTGACATTTGAAAAAAAAAATAAAAATTTCATATTATTGGACTTGTCAAAAAAAAATGACACTTGAAAAAAAAATAATAATAATAATTTCATATTATTAGACCTGTCAAAAAAAAAAGACACTTGAAAAAAAAAAAAAATTTATAGGAGTCATTGAACCTGTCAAAAAAAAAATTCATTTGAAAAAAATTTTTTTTAATAGAATTGGACCTGTCAAAAAATGACGTTTGAAGAAAAACAGTTTTTTTTTATAACTTTGGAATTGTGAAAAAATGACATTTGAAAAAAAAAAAAAAATTATTTCATATTATTGGACCTGTCAAAAAAAAATGACACTTGGAAAAAAAAAATTAAAATTTTATAGGTATCATTGGACCTGTTAAAAAAAAAATTACATTTGAAAAAAATATTTTTTTTTATAAGATTGGACCTGTCAAAAAATGACGTTTGAAAAAAAAAATATTTTTTTTTTTTCATAAGTTTGGACCGGTCAAAAGGTGACATTTGAAAAAAAAAATAAAAATTTCATATTATTGGACCTGTCAAAAAAAAATGACACTTGAAAAAAAATAATAATAATAATTTCATATTATTAAACCTGTCAAAAAAAAAAGACACTTGAAAAAAAAAAAAAAATTTATAGGAGTCTTGAACCTGTCAAAAAAAAAATTCATTTGAAAAAAATTTTTTTTAATAGAATTGGACCTGTCAAAAAATGACGTTTGAAGAAAAACAATTTTTTTTTATAACTTTGGATCTGTGAAAAAATGACATTTGAATAAAAAAAAAAAAATTTCATATTATTGGACCTGTCAAAAAAAAATGACACTTGGAAAAAAAAAATTAAAATTTTATAGGTATCATTGGACCTGTTAAAAAAAAAATTACATTTGAAAAAAATATTTTTTTTTATAAGATTGGACCTGTCAAAAAATGACGTTTGAAAAAAAAAATATTTTTTTTTTTTTCATAAGTTTGGACCGGTCAAAAGGTGACATTTGAAAAAAAAAATAAAAATTTCATTTTATTGGACCTGTCAAAAAAAAATGACACTTGAAAAAAAAAAATAAATTTATAGGAGTCATTGTTCAAAATTCATTTGAAAAAAAATTTTTTTAATAGAATTGGACCTGTCAAAAAATGACGTTTGAAGAAAAACAGTTTTTTTTTATAACTTTGGACCTGTGAAAAAATGACATTTGAAAAAAAAAAAAAATAATTTCATATTATTGGACCTGTCAAAAAAAAATGACACTTGAAAAAAAAAAATAAATTTATAGGAGTCATTGTTCAAAATTCATTTGAAAAAAAATTTTTTTAATAGAATTGGACCTGTCAAAAAATGACGTTTGAAGAAAAACAGTTTTTTTTTATAACTTTGGACCTGTGAAAAAATGACATTTGAAAAAAAAAAAAAATAATTTCATATTATTGGACCTGTCAAAAAAAAATGACACTTGGAAAAAAAAAAAAAAATTTATAGGAGTCTTGAACCTGTCAAAAAAAAAATTCATTTGAAAAAAATTTTTTTTAATAGAATTGGACCTGTCAAAAAATGACGTTTGAAGAAAAACAATTTTTTTTTATAACTTTGGATCTGTGAAAAAATGACATTTGAATAAAAAAAAAAAAAAATTCATATTATTGGACCTGTCAAAAAAAAATGACACTTGGAAAAAAAAAATTAAAATTTTATAGGTATCATTGGACCTGTTAAAAAAAAAATTACATTTGAAAAAAATATTTTTTTTTATAAGATTGGACCTGTCAAAAAATGACGTTTGAAAAAAAAAATATTTTTTTTTTTTTCATAAGTTTGGACCGGTCAAAAGGTGACATTTGAAAAAAAAAATAAAAATTTCATATTATTGGACCTGTCAAAAAAAAATGACACTTGAAAAAAAATAATAATAATAATTTCATATTATTAAACCTGTCAAAAAAAAAAGACACTTGAAAAAAAAAAAAAAATTTATAGGAGTCTTGAACCTGTCAAAAAAAAAATTCATTTGAAAAAAATTTTTTTTAATAGAATTGGACCTGTCAAAAAATGACGTTTGAAGAAAAACAATTTTTTTTTATAACTTTGGATCTGTGAAAAAATGACATTTGAATAAAAAAAAAAAAATTTCATATTATTGGACCTGTCAAAAAAAAATGACACTTGGAAAAAAAAAATTCAAATTTTATAGGTATCATTGGACCTGTTAAAAAAAAAATTACATTTGAAAAAAATATTTTTTTTATAAGATTGGACCTGTCAAAAAATGACGTTTGAAAAAAAATATTTTTTTTTTTTCATAAGTTTGGATCGGTCAAAAGGTGACATTTGAAAAAAAAAATAAAAATTTCATATTATTGGACCTGTCAAAAAAAAAGACACTTGAAAAAAAAAAAAATTTATAGGAGTCATTGTTCAAAATTCATTTGAAAAAAATTTTTTTTAATAGAATTGGACCTGTGAAAAAATGACATTTGAAAAAAAAAAAAAAATTATTTCATATTATTGGACCTGTCAAAAAAAAATGACACTTGGAAAAAAAAAATTCAAATTTTATAGGTATCATTGGACCTGTTAAAAAAAAAATTACATTTGAAAAAAATATTTTTTTTATAAGATTGGACCTGTCAAAAAATGACGTTTGAAAAAAAATATATATTTTTTTTTTCATAAGTTTGGACCGGTCAAAAGGTGACATTTGAAAAAAAAAATAAAAATTTCATATTATTGGACCTGTCAAAAAAAAAGACACTTGAAAAAAAAAAAAATTTATAGGAGTCATTGTTCAAAATTCATTTGAAAAAAATTTTTTTTAATAGAATTGGACCTGTGAAAAAATGACATTTGAAAAAAAAAAAAAATTATTTCATATTATTGGACCTGTCAAAAAAAAATGACACTTGGAAAAAAAAAATTAAAATTTTATAGG